AAATCAACCATTTAAAAGCAGTTTAAAAGTAGCTGAGAAAAAAACCCAACTACTGTTTTAGTAAAAACCTGTTCAGTATCAGCTCAGCTTTAGCGTCGTTAGCTGCTAACGCTTAGCAGCTAGCGCTTAGCAGCTAGCGGTTAGCAGCTAGCTCTTAGCAGCTAACGGTTAGCACGGCAAAGTATTCTTACAGTTTTACAATCTGCAATTTTTTTCACTTTGATTCTTTTTACTTCTGGGTACCAAAAATGATACACAATGATGAATTTAAAAGCAGTTGGTACTTCTTTAATGTTTTTTTGAATGTATTATTTTCAGGCAACGCAGCATATGCTATCAAAGAGCTAATTGAGCTAACTACTGTACTTCCTGTTATGCATCAAAAAGTTTCAAAAACATCACTCATCTTTGTTTTTGGGCTTATACCAACAGCTTAAGCTAAAATAGCAATCAAACAAACTTCACCTGGTTAGAAGAAATAAAGCTTTTTTAAAATCAGTTTTTTTTTTAACCTTCCTGGCTGCTAACACTTTTCTTTCTGTCAGATTTACCAACATTTCTCTACCTGATTCATATATTCATCATCATCACCTTTATTAAAAATGTTTTTATGTTATATGTTTATGATATATTAGATATTTACTAACAGTGACCAGCCTGTGTGTTCAGTTAAGGCCAACCAGTCTACGGCTATTATAGCATCTTTGTTTGCTAAACTATGTATCAGGCTGCTCTGAGCCAAACCTCAAACAGTTTGGCAGACTCTGTCTTCAATTTTTATCAAACTATCACACTGTACCGTGCGAGGTAAAAGAGAAGTGAGATTTTTAACTCTTTCATAAGACTCAGAGGTTGCATTGTATCACCTCTTAAAAGTGTAAAATGTCAGAGACTGGTAGTACAAATCCATAATTTCTTCCCTGTCATAAAAATGATTGATTCAAAACAAATGCACCGTCAACAGGTTTCACAACCATGTGTTTGCTGTTGGTAGGCACGGCCGAACATTAAAAAAAGACTAAACTCTCATTTCATAATGGGAAAAATGTGTTTTTATTGAGGAGAGATTTCAAAAACTACATAAACAAGTCACTAAAGTATGCAGAACTCAGGGTATTAGAGTCCAAAAAGCAATTAGGTGAGAGACATAAAAGGTTCTGCACACATGCTTGAAAATAAAGGAAAACATTTTATAAAAATGATATTATGGTTTGTTTAACAGAGATCCTTTAATAGACAGATTTCCTGTTTTTAAAAAGTTAAATACAGATGCATTATTTACAACCACTGTTCCAATGATGTTGGGATGTTATGTAAAATAAATAAAAACAGGATATACAAATATTTTCAACCTATTGTCACAACAGACAAGATTTTTAATGTTCAAACGGATAAAGTTGATTTGTCATAATTCTGCAGCAGTTTATCATTTTCTTCAGAACACAAAGAGCCAGTAACTGAAGCAGTTTATTAAAACGCCAAGCACTGCTACGTCTTTATTGACTGACAAATCCTTATTTGGACTACAGACAAAGACCTAACCATCTGTTGACAGACTGCCACTAAACACATTGTTAGCACATGCTTAGCTCCACAGATACACAGTTAGCGGCTGACTTGACTGGCGGGATTTGAGTGTAAAGCATTTTCTCTATTGTAGAGTTATTTACTCACTTTAGTCCCAAATATTAGGGTGAACAAATGTCCTACATTCCCCAGACATGTCAGGTGTTCAGTAAATTTGAGATCATGAGAACTTGAAAGACTTTCTTTAACCCACAGATGGCTCTTTTCTGCTGCCTACATCTGAGATCTTGTTATGATTCACATCTCATGGAACCAGAATGAAGATATCCCAATAAACAAAGACTTTAGCGTTTCTGTTCCCGTCATTCTTCAAGGAGCAATGTTCTTTTTTTACTGTAGATAATAAGTCTCAAGTTTTATGTTGCGTTCACACCAGTCCTGTTTAGTTTGCTTTAATTGAACTCCAGCCCATGTGTGTAGAAAGTTTGGTTCGTTTGGGGAAGTGTGAATGCTATGCGAACTCTGGTCCGCCTATGAACCTCTATCTCAGTTCTCGCCTATAAACCTCTATCTCAGTTCTCAGTGAACTCTGGTGCAGTTTGAATGTGAATGCCAAGCGCACTGGAGACTGCTCCTAAAGCAGGAAATGGACGATAGCGCAAGGCATTCTGGCTAAATACAACAAAAACAAACATGTTAGCTTAGCGTTAGCAGCAGAAGTGGTTCATAGTACTTCACCAAAGACAGAAGAGAAATCCTTCAACCACTAAACTCTGATGCCATTTCATTTTTGCTTGTAATTGGTGAAGGAATTAATTGTTTCCTTCAGTGGTTCTTGGTGCAGCTCCCCCACAGGTGAGGAGGGGAACAGGTTTTTCAACAGGTTTGACTGGTTTGACTCACTGCAGAAAGAACCAAGAACTACTGAGGTAAATAACAGAAAAACCTCAGAAAAAGACCTCCGCAACTTCTTTTTTCACTAAAAACCTTTTTCACTAGAAAAAGGACCAAAAATACTTAAGATTTTTTGTTTTTGGAGTTTATGACTGCAACTTGAAATTCTGTCCATGAGCCACACAAACAAAACCTGAGACAAGAAGCAGCCAGAATCTAGAAAACATAGACTTTCCTCCAATATTTTCTAAAACCTAACAAACTGCAAATCACATAGTTTACAGGACAATAAACAACATTAACTCCTACTCTGCAATTAACAACAGCTAGCATTGTGCTAATTAGCAGCTAATGTACAAAATAACATGATTCTAACAAATTTCTAGGGGGAGTTATTATTTATCATTAGATTTATTGTGTCATTTTATACCACAGTCAAGTGAATGTTAAAGGCTGTATATCTAAAATAAGCTTAAAAGAAATTTGACTTTATAATTTGATGCCTTGAAATTGGGCATTGCTTTAAGCACAGGAATGGCTGCCTGAAGGATTCTTCAAACATGTTTGAAAGAATCAAAGAGACACTCCAAGTGTGTTTTTGATGAGGGAATAAACATATAAAACTCAAAAAGGCTAATTTTACATCATATCTCTCTTTCAAAAGTCTGACCTACTAATTCAGATTTTGGTGGTTGCTGATATTGTTCTCTGAAATGTTGCTAATTATAGTGACAAACAAGCCTGTTGTAATAATCGATAAATCAGTTAATCATATGATAAATTAAAATGACCTCAATAATTTCCCTTTTAAAATGTTAGTTCAAAAGGGATGTTAATAGATTCTGGTTGTAAGCCTTGACATCATAATTAAAACTTAAGGGGCTGGTTGAATAGTATATAATATTGGAAAGTATTCTTTTTGAGGTTTTTTCCTAAAAATAAAAATAATGAGCAGATGAAGACTTTTTTTGGAAATGTTTTGAAATACTTTAGATGCTGTGAATTAAGTCTTACATTGGTTTGACCCTTTAGAGGGTTGCAAAGGTGTTAAAACATGATGTAACGTCATGAAGTGCAGATGTTGGTGGTAAAGGTTAACCTGTATGTATCTCCATCTGTAAAATAAAGTAAAAATATGTTGAAAACTCAGAGGTCTTTTCTTGCTTTATGTGTTGAGCCTCTTACTGACATATATGCTAAGAAGAGGAAACAGACCTTGCTATGATCATTACCATTTCCCCCCACATTGGAGAAATAAATGAAACCAGCCACAGCGGAGGAATTCACACAACAGGTCAGGCAGAGTTTGTTTCCAGAGCTGTGGTACTGTGAATATCTTTGATCAGATCAAGAGATGGTGTGCAGGTTGGAAAGGTGTCCACCTTTGAGTTTTGCCTTGGGTGCTCTTTGATGTTATTTCATTAAAGATAATGAATGGCAGTGTAATGATATTATAAGTGCAGCTATTGATTCACTGCAGTGAGGCCCTGGATTCAAATCCCAGGTGGGATTGAAGGCTGTTTCTGTTTGCATGTTTGGGTTTTTCTCGGGTATTCCAGTTTCATTTGGGGTGTAACGATAAATCAGCTCCAATTTCCTTAATTTTGGATAATCAGTGATGGGTCAATACATGGAAAAACAATCTTGTTTACTTCTGCGCTCCACTGTTGCCAACTTAGCAACACATTTCATGGACCATAAACTGTCCCTTAATAAAAGATAATATTGTTGTTTTCAGATCGTTTTTAAATAATAAAATGGTAATATAATAATAATGCAAAAACAGATTCTCAAAGATCAATAAACTAATGTTCATTTAACACTGGAACTGAAAGACATTTTAACCCCCCTCCCCCTCCCACACACACACACACACAAATACATAAAACAGAAATAATTTTGTTGAGACTAACAAAAGAGAGAGAAAAGAGAAAAACAATAAATCATACAAATAGAAATTGAGGTCATTTTAATTTATCATACTATTAAATGATTTATTGCTAATTGCAACAGGCTTATCTGTCGCTATATTTACAAAATTTCAGAGGAAAAAATTGGTATCAACCGAAATCGGAATTGGTAGGTCAGGCTTCTTAAAGTTGATATGATGTAAAATCAACTTTTTTGAGTTTTATATGTTAAAATATTACTCTCTCATCAAAAACATGCCTGTAGTGGCTCTTTGCTTCTTCCAGACATGTTTGAGGAATCTTTGGCAGCTATTCCTGTGCCCCAAGGCCCACATTAAATTACAAAAGTCAAATTTATTTTAAGTTTATTTATTGTTAAAACACAGACTTCCTTTAAAGTGGTAAAAGTGTGAACTACTATGTTTCTTTTTTGTTTGTTTGCTTAGTGTGTTATGTTTTTATTATGTAAATCTCTTTGAACTACCTTGTTGCTGAAATGTGATTAACCAGTAAAGTAAACCTGATTTGCCTTGACAACTAAAATAGCAAATAGATATTTTTATCTTAGAAATTTCTTGCCCTGACAGAAATATTAAGTTAAATTTTACAGACTAAAAGGGAATAAAAATTATTTCATTGTTGAATTTACTCCACTAGGGGGCTCTGCAGTTCATTTCACGTTTAATGGCGGACCGGAAGTGACTTGACGGCGTTTGTTCCGCCGTCTGCTGCAGCAAGTGAGCTAAATTAACCTTAAAACTTATTCTTTCTTGCGTTATTGAGTATTGCGTAACGTAGTGTTTTGAGTTGAAGCTATGGTGAGTTACGTTTTTGTTTTACATGCGGGTTTTTGGCAAATTAGCATTTAGCTAACGGAAATGCTGTCTTATTTTGTACATTAGCAGCTAATTAGCACAATGGTAGCTGTTCCTTATTTCACAGTAAGGGTTAATGCTGCTGTTTGTCGTACTGTAAACTATGTGACATATAGTTTTTAGTTAAATCAAGCATAATTGGGGATGATTCACTCATATGGTTTACTTTAAATGTTATTGCAATTTTGTTTTCACTTTGTTTACATTTTAACTGGCACCAGGCAATAAATAACGACAACAAGAACAATAACCAATTTATGTTGTTTGTAACAATTGTGGTGTCATGATCTTTGTTTAAACTACAGCTTCTGTTCAGAGTTATTGATTCACCTGCTCTTCAGCTGGGAACTCAACAAACTTTGAAATACCCTCTGCAGCGGCATTACGAGTACAAAGCATGGAAAAAGCCTCCAGTTAAAGGAGCACAAGGTAATATTTATACACAACATACTGCTGATTAAATTGCTTCAATAAGTATCTTCAAAAACATTCTTTATGTTCAGTAGATAGGCTCCTCTGATATTCTAACCTTGGATAAATCTGTAAGAAGAGACCAGCAGAGGACAAAGGCACGGCTTATCATCTTCATCATTGTTCAGAACCGATTAGCGCTGAGGTCTGAAGCAGAAGAGGCAGAAAGGCTGGAGAAGGATGGAGTGATCGGAAACGCAGCAGAGAGCAGAAGCTGTGGGGCTCCACGCGGCCATGACCACGGGGCAAATGTGCAACAGATGCTCGGGGCGTGCGTGTGAGTTGTAGTCTGTTTAGTGGCACGCCATGGCAACTCAGACGTTATTTGTACATCGTATGTTTGACACCTCAACTTTTGTCCATTTTCCCAGAAAAAAAGAAAACAAAAAAATCATAATCAAATCTGAAAATATCCTCAGTTTATGCATGGAGGCTGAAAAAAGTAGCTATTTTCAGGTTTCAAAGTAGTTTTTATAGATACTGCAGATGCTGTCAGAGTGGATATGAAGTAATTCTAATCAAACGTTCTGTCTTTTTGTTCTTGTTGTGTCGTCAGAGTCTGAAAAGCACGTTGGAGTGCTGTACAGCCGATCTGGTTCCAATTCTCTCACTCTTCATATCAAGTGCTTTAAAAGAGGTCTAAACACTAAGGTCATTTTCTGTGGATACAAGAGGCATGCAGCAGTGATAAAAGCCACCATATGTACCTAGCCACTCACTCAGGAGGTAAACCTAGGTGAGTAAGACTCAAACTGAACTTCCTTTAGAAGACTTTAAAGGATTCCTTGCAATTATGGGTGAAATTACACTAAAATGTGCAAACATAGCCAGAGTAAATTGGCAGGTCTTCATGAACCATGTGGAGTAAAAAAAGTTTAATTCTGGTCTCCTTTGAAAGATAAACCTCTATCACAATCCCCCCGCCCAAAACCCGTCTTCAAGGAGTAGGAATGTTTCTTCATGTTACTGGAACTGAGTTGCAGATGTTTGAACACACAGAGAAGAAAGAATTTATTTTTATGCCTTTCTCTTTCTTTTTGTTTTGTAAAATTATCTATGGATCTATTACAGTTTCATGTCATTTGCACAAGACCCCAGCCCCAGCTACCCGCTGGAGGGCAAAAAGCTGCTGACCGGACGATGACTAGCATTGGTTTTAGCTGTTAAGTCGTCTACATAACGCGCTAAATCTTAAACGTACGCCTGTTGTGTAAAAGAAAAGGGACGCAGTGCTCTGCTACTAATTGTCAACACTCCCAGCCAGCATGCCTAGGTGGGCCCCCTGTGGGGAAAAGGAGGGCAGGCCATATGGGTCCCATATGGGTTTGTTCACGGGTTCCACGATGGCCCCACATGGGCGCTACATGGGCCCTACATGGGCAAACCCATCGTGGAACCCGCGGACAAACCCATATGGGACCCATATGGCCTGCCCTCCTTTTCCCCACATGGGGCCCACCTAGGCATGCTGGCAGGGACTGTGACAAATAGATAAAAAGGTCAGGAAAAAAAATTAATTAAGAAATAGCGAGGGAAAGGGAAGTAGGTCAGTTATGCTAGTTTGATATGAGAACCGTAACATGCAGGTGTGATGTGGAATTTGGTGTTTCGTTTCAGTTACAAAAAAAAAAATAAAAATAGGCTACCCACACGCCAGCTCTGAGAGATCATCAGCAGAGCCACCGCTCCAAATAACCACCGCTGTGTTAGCTTAGCTAATAGCGTTAGCTAATCTACTGCAGCGATCACTTAATCATCTAAAAATAAACCTCAAACCTGAAAACATAAAACTGTGACAGACTGGACGTTCTGTTCTTTTTGTGGGAAATGTTTGTGTGTTTTTGGTGTTGAACCCTGATACATTAATGCAGCTGTTGGCAGTTGCTATGGCAATGAGTCTGCGTGTAACGTAGCGACACAGAGAGCTAGAAAAAAGGATACCAGCGGTTTTGACTTATTCTTCAGCGGTTTTCCTGCTTTATTTTTTCCTTCGCTGTGGCGCGCTGCACTGCATTAATAATACCCGCATCACCAGGTTTCATTTTGTTAACTGAGTTGTTTTATTGCGGCTGTGACTGACATGAAACAGAAACATATTTTGCCCTCCAGGGTTTCTGGATGTAAACAATAACATGCAGAGGGTTGTTGATTATAGCTAAGTATGGTTAGGTTAGGATTTTTTTTTTATTTGCTTTATTATTCAATTGTGAATATATTACTTGAAAGTGGTTTCAGAACATTTTTTTTATCACAATAAATTCTGGGACAATTTATCGCCCAAATAAATTTGTTATTGTGACAAGAATACATTTTCAAAGATCAATAAATTTCAAATTCTAATAGACATTTAACACTGGAACCGGAAGACATTTTACAAACAAATGAATAAAACATTCATTATTTTATTATTTATAATAAAATAAATTACAGAGTATCTGAAAACAATATTGTCTTTCAAAATAAGAGCTGGACCAAGGCACCAGGCTGAAGACCAGTTTTGGTAGAAAGAGAAGAGCAATAAATTATGCAAATAGAAATAATTGACTCAATTTTAATTTGTCATGCAATTTATTGTTTTAATCGCTCATTTAGGATAAATGGAGTATTTTTGAATTTCAATAACATGTTTGTGGAACTTAACTCCAGACTATTTGAGGTTTACTTTTTTCATAGAGCATCTTAAATATAAAAAAGCTGGAACGCCTCCACGCAATGCCACTGTCACTTATACTGGGTGATGTCTGCGAAGCAGCAGATTTCGCTGACGCTGGTGAGGAAGATGGTGTTGTTTTCTGACAATCCCGCTGTGAGTTTAATTGCTGTTTGAACTCATAAAATCTGCAGTTTTAGGCGTTTTTAGTGATTCATCTGCAGCTGTTGTCCCTAAATCCCGTGAATACAGGGGGTCTATTGTGTTGCTTTACATCCTAGCCTGATTTTAAACCTGTTTACAACTTTCTCCATGTCCTCCCTGCTGTGCTGTTTGGCCATTAACGAACTCCTGAGACCTCAACAGAACTGTTTCAGCAACCGTCTTCAAAGGAAAGCGGTGCGCTGGATTCTATTTACTCTATCAGAGTTAAATGAGCTAAAATCCAAATGCACACCAGACAGGAAAACATTAAAATGAAGTCATTAAAAGTATGGAATTATTGTGGTTTGAATGCTTTCATTCTAAATGGGAGCCGCCCAATCCGTTTCAGTGATGGCAAATATCTAAGGATCTGAATCTCCTCTGGCTTCCTGGCTGTTTTTTAGAGTAATTAAAACATAAACATGTTATTTTTCTACATTTATCAATCAATCTAGGAACGGGATTGAACCCCAAAGCAAGAAAACTCTGGAGTGCGGTCAATTTTACTGTTTTATAGCATGGACATTTGCAACCGATACTTTCTGGAAAAGAGTCAGCAGTTTGTTTTCTGCCTGAATGTGCAAACATAAAAGACTAAAGTAAAGGGACAAAGGCTAAAGATGCCTGGTTCATTATTATCTCTAAAGAGTTATAGTCCAGTGAGGCAGATTGATGCAGACTTAAACTGCAGTCCTGGCTTAAACTCCATTACAATAAATCTTTAAAGGTTTGGTCCAGAGATGTAAAACTGAAACTGTGCCTCCATTAATCTCTTTGCCTGGTGCGCTTAAAAACGTTAAAGTTAAGCCTTTCAGCCTGTTTTCTGTTTCTTCCCAGAAACTAAAGAAATCGATCAACAACTTATACCAGTGACAGATTAATCAACATTAATCAAATGTCATATACTGCATATAAAGGACCATTTCCACCATTTTTAACAACAAAGGAGACAATTTATGTCAATAATAACTGTTTATTTAATATTATTTCAGTTACCAAATAACCAATAATTATTAGGTTATGAATAATTATAAATTATAATATTTGATAATTATAAATATTAGTTTATAATTATTAATTATAACTAATTGCTTGTAATAACTATAAATATTGTAAAAATTAATTTATAATAGACAAAAATACAGATTTTTGTGACGTAGTTATGTAAATATAAAAAACATTAATTTGTTGCAACCCTCTTAAAATGGCTGTTGATGGGTGTGCTGTGGCAGTGCAGGGGTTAAGCTCAACCCAGACCTCAGTCCTCGGTCGTCGCTGGTTCGATTCCCGGCCTGGTGACCTTTGCTTCATGTATTTCTTCTCTCAATACCCGACTTTCCTGGCTGAGCACTTTCAAATAAAAGGCCACTAGAGCCCAAAAAAGTTGACTATAAATAGTTTGCATTTGTTATTGCTGCCTTATTTCTATGTACGAAATTGTGTGAGTGTTTGTTATATTTTCTGTTGCTTGATTTATGGGCAACATATAGAAATGAGCAATTTGCTAACATTCATTATTATGCATTTAAATAAAATCAATCACTTTCTGGTGTTTGTTGGGGTGAATTTTAGAAAAATAGTATCTTTTTGTTAGAAACAGCAGTAAGAAGAGTTTTACAGTAGTTTGATCTGCAGGTAATAAAAGCAGGAGATGCGTCGGCTCCAGAGTAACGGCTCTTCAAGTGATCAAACCCGGTTTTCATTATTAGTTTGAAAACAGTTAAAAACTTGGTTTATATGCAGACATAAACCAAAGCATCCACATTCAATTAAAATGTGACTTTTGCCCATACTATAAAATATAGAGACTGGCTTTAGCCTAAATTATATGGCAGTAAATTAGGACCAATGTAGACAGAAGAAAAGGAAATTACCACAAAAAAACTTAATTTTAAGATTAATCTCAGACATTTTGTAGAACAGACATTTCTGAGCTCAAAAAGTCAAAAATTAGCAAGACAAAAGGACATTTTCAAATTTGTTAGAAATTTTTTTGAAATTCAGAAATTACTTGTTTTTTTCTACAATTTTTCAGAACTCTCAAAATTTTTGAGTTTTCTTCTAGCAAATTTTTGACACTTCACTCAGAAAATGTCATGTATTTTTCCTAGAAAATGTCTGAGATTAATCTGAAAATTAGTTTTTTTCTTGACAATTTATTAACTTAGTGTCATAATTTCAGATTTTTTTCTAGTAAGTTTCAACTTTTCAAGCTCACAAATACCAAAAAGATTTTCTAGCAAATTTCTGAGATTAATCTCCAATTTTTTCTTAGTTTTTATGCCAGATATTTACTCTTCCGTTTTTATTTTTCTTCCTACAGTGGCGACAATGTGCCGCTGTAAAATGAAGTTAAACTGTGAAACAGTGAGAAAAATAAAAGCATTGATGCAGACTGTGAGGCTGGGGGATCAGAGAGTCCATTGGGTCCTCTGCTGTCAACAGAGCAGGCTTCGCTCCATCATATCAGTGGGAAACAACGGAGCATCACGCAAGATCCGCCACACATAGGTCACACGAGCAGAGCTGGGGAGGAACAAAGATGCTGCCTGCTGTTCCTGGATCGGAACAAACTGAACTTGATGTGATCATTTCAGCAGCGGGAGCTCTGGAGCGTGCAGATTTGATTCTTCTGTCAAATTGTTCACAGGCTGCAGCAGGATTTCAGGATAGCAAAGTGTACTGGTCGGGATTATCTTGACTTAAATTGTGATGTAAAACTGAAACAAACTCTTCCTTTTCTATTTCATAAAGCTGTCAAAGTGGGGTCATTTTATTAGAAATATAAACTGCTCAAGGATAACTGCCTCATACCAAGAAGGTCCAGAGTTAAAATCTTTCTGTTAAACTCTTTAGTGGTGGGAGGGGATGTGAAATTAAACCTTAAAAACAAGCCTTGTAGATCTTAAGGGCCTGGCAAGTTTGAAATGTAGTTCTTAACAATTCTGCAACAGCAACGAAAGCTACTGATCCGAAGGTTCTCTAGTTTTAATGTGAGTGTTGTGGTTTTTAACCAGGTTGTAAGATGTTATGTGGGAAAAGATTAGAGCGTGAAGTGAGCAGAAGTCTTTAGCCGGCCCCCTGCTGTCTGCATGCATTCGCTGAGATTTACACAGTAATGTGTCCGTACAGCATCATAACTGCAGACACTGTAACAGCAGCAGGTTGCCTGCTAATGGGATGCATGTACGATACAGCGTCATCAGCATGAAATTTCATGTTGACATCAGAATAAATTTGTTCTCAGGTTATGAAATGGAAAATGAATAACACTGGTCCAAGTATAGAGCCTTATTTAACTCCTGTGCAGAAATGGTATCTCACGGTGTGCTTTCATTGTTTAAACTAAGGAGTAATATCTCCATCTAAGTAGATTTCTAGAGCTGTTCAAGGTCTGAATGTGTTTGTATTTAGTGCAAATTTAGATGTCTTTAAAACAAAAAATAAACAGGAAGCTAAGTAACTTGTCAAAAATGGGTCTAAATTGAAGCCATTAATTGGCCCAATAAACCCACTCCAGCGTTTCCGTGGTAACATGTCCCGTCGTGTGGACACACACTTTTTTCTTTTAATTGTTTACAATAATACTCCATGCTCGTCTCTGTGTGCCTAAATGGAGCTAGCAAGATAAATATGTAGCTTGCTGTCTGACACTTTGGTCTGGAGCTAAGTATTTAGCTTACTAACTGAATATTTAGTTTAGATCTAAATATGTAGTTGTGAGCTACATATTTAGTTTACAAGTTAAATATTAAGTTTGCTAAGTAAATAATTTTGAGCTAAATATTCAACTTAACTAAATGTTTAGTTTGAAGCGAAATATTGAGCTTGCTATCTAAATATTTAGCAGGAAGCTAAATACTTGGCTTGCTAACTCAGTGTTTGATTTTTAGCTAAATATTTAGTTCTAAATCGTAAGTAAATGTTTAGTCATGAGGTAGCTATTTAGTTTACAAACTGAATATTTAGTTAACTAGATATTTAGTTTACAGCTAAGTATTTAGCTAGCTAACTAAATGTTTGATTTGAAACAAAAATATTTAGCTTGTTTAATGTTTAATTTGAAATTGTTACATTTATAAGGGAATAACTAACATGGTGAAAATATGATCCTCCATTTTCTCCCGTCTTATGAAAGACTAAATATCCCAAATTATTGATGATAATTTTTGGTGGTGTAACTTTTCAAACATCAGTACTAGAGATAATTTCTTATTAGTCAGAAAAAACAGAAATTAAGGGTCGAAGGAGCTGGAATACATTACCTGGCAACGTTAGAAATAACTCCACCTGTCCTCATTTTAAACATGGTTGGTCAGTAATCAGCGCTGTGTTCACTGAACCTCAGGAACCATTTCATGGTAGATGTCATTTTGTAAACATTTTAAGATATTTGTACTTTGATAAAGGTATCTTGGGCCCAATTGACAAAATAAAGTTTGTCTTCGTTTTCAACAGATTCTTTAGACGGAGGAAGAATTAGTTTTACTCCGGCCTCGTGGCTTTGATGCCAGAACCCAAGACATTTGTTTTCTGCAAGTAGAGAATAAACAGCAAGAAAGAACAAAAGTGAAAAGACAATCCTCTCGCATGAACCCAAAACACTCTCCAGCTGTGGTTAAAAAATCAGTCAGAAATAATTAGAAAAACCCTGCTCATGCATGGCACCAAACCATGTCGCCATGGCAACTTAATCTAATTTTCAATTTGCTACAAATATGGGAAAAGAAGCCTTGTAAATATATCAACTTTGAAAAACTGAAGCATTTGATGTTCCAGCACTGGAAACAGACATGGAAATCTAACCAGAACAAGTATGCTAAACCATTTTCCTTTTAGGCATGAAGATGCTGGTGGTTAATGGGAAAGTCTCTGGGTGGTTGGAGTAGTTTTGGTCTCTCCAAAACTACTGCTGTCTGTTGTTTTACTTATTTACTCACCTGCAGTTGATCTCATCAAGGTTAGATTATAAAAGCACCTGGGAAATGTTTAAAATGCAGGATAATTCAGTCATCTTGAAGTCACTTGAGGTTTACCTGCCTAGAGACCGAGACCCAAACAAACTGAAGCAGTTTAGTTTCAGTTTAGTTTTTATTAGTTATTGTAGAAGTTTCAAATGACATTTATTCTGTGCCCAGAATGCAACGCTGTACCAGGGCATAGTTCTCCAGTGAACAGTTTAAATCTGATGTCTTTTCCAGCAGCCATTGTATAGCAGATGCAACTGTAAAAACAGCTGAGCAAATTTGCTGGAGCTCAGCTTGGGTTACTAGGTAACGGGCGTAACTTCACTGGGGTTGCTAGGTAACGAGCGTAATTCCACTGGGGTTGCTAGGTAACGGGCGGAACTTCACTGGGGTTGCTAGGTAACATCAGTGGAGCTTTGCTGGGGTTACTAGGTGAAAGTGGCTGCTTATTTGTGATATATTCTGTGGGTTTTTGAAACGGCTAATTTTCCAGACACCGAAAAACCTTAACTTATTGCCAAAAAACAGCTGGTGGTTTTTAAAAGCAGCAGAAACCCAAATGGAAGTACAGAAACATGAAAAATGTGAATTTTGCATGAAGGGCCACATTTAAACGCAATGTTCCGGTAGGTACTGATTAGCAATTGAATTGGTCCTTTAAAGAGTTATTATAACATGTCATTGGTACATGATGGCTATCAACATGGTTGTATTAAATGCTTTAGCGCTTTAGCATTAGCTTCTGCTAAATACCATGTTGGTATAGTGGTTTTACACAACTAATGTTTGATTCGTGCTTTAGTTAGCGGTGCTATGGCTCTGAGTAGGAAGCCAAACTTTAGGATCCATTTATCATTTCAAAATTAAGATCCCATGTTCAAAACTGTTCAATTTTCAAACAACAAACCATTTTATCCCTTATGTAATCATCTCATTAGGTAAAATTAATATTCATCCCAAACAGAACTACAGCTGGCTATGTTATTTAAAAAATGGTTATGTTTATGTTTTCATAAAATACAAAATCTCAAAATATGAGTAAAATACCAAGTGTTGTATGCATCGACAACATTCTAGTGTTATTTGTAAAACAGAAACAAAACTGAAGTAAAATGTAACACATAGTAGAGGGAAAAGTGGAATTGAGCTGTTTTGGCACAAACAAAAATCTTCTTCTGCATCATTAAATATAACAAGCAACAGTTAGCACCAACGGTGAGCAACACTCAACTATAAACATTAACCAAGAAGCAGCAAGACGAAACCAGGGAGCCGTCATCCTCCTCTCTCCCGCTGCACGAAAAGCCTGCGTCAGTGTTTATGCAGCCAGGTCACGCAGTGCAGCGCGTCGGTCGCCATGACAGGTGACAAAAACAAACAGCATGTGCTTATGCTACATTAAATAAATACAGTTAAAAATAATACTTGCTGTTGCAGTGTGTGCAGAACAGTACAAAAACAGAGTCCTTCAAAAAATCTGATCTTTTTTATGGGGTTACAGAAACATTTGTCTCCAAATTCAAGTAATATCTACAATATTTCTGCTGTTTCTGTCCTCCTCCAAAAGGCTGTTCAGACAGCTACTCCATCATCCTCACAACAGCCAATAAATCTCATCTGTAGTTACTTAGTTTGTTTGAGTATTTGCATGAAAACAAAAGCCTTAACTGTGGCAATAAAGCTAAATGGTTGCAATCACACTTTACTTTAGAAATTATACACAAACGTGTGCTTTTACTGAAATGGGCTGGATTAAAAGCAACATATTTGAATTGTATCTAAAGAACTGGATGCTCTGCTTGTAATACTTAACTTTATTCTGTAAAATAACTAATTAAAGCATGTTTGTGGAGCAGTTTGCACTAAATACTTGGGTTTGATGCGTTTCTAGCGGTGCAGCGGGTTCCTGTAATCCAAAACTCCCTGTTTTTCACTACAGTGTCGAGACATAAATGCTCCTACCCTTCTCTTCCAGAATATAATTTACGGTGCATGCTGCTTTGAAAAGATCCTATCAGATGGTAACCATGTGTTGCATGAATTCAATTACGGCACAAAGAAGTTCCTCTTAGACAGGGTCAGGGGCGGTGTTGGAAGTAAAGCTGCGCTGGGGCACAATCCCGCCATGCATAACTCAAATCTCATCTTTTCAGCATAAAGTTTGATAAAAGTCTGCTGCATGTGCAAAATCTGAATCAGTATTTTACATGAACCTGACATGCAGCGTTGCGCTACTGCCCTGGAGCTGAAACCTGGAGATGAATCCACTTTGTAAAGAACATTTACACAAAATCTCTGAATGAGTAAAAGTAACACGAATGCGCATAGAAGTTTAGAAAGTCTCGCAGCTTGATGTGTTATTTTTTCCCTACCCAATCTGGTTCCTATGATGATGTGCTATTGTAATTATACATAAAAATAGGATGACTGACTTTCCATCAAAACTCAGAAAATAAAACATAAAAAATGTGCCTGAGAAAAGTTAGAAATTTTTAGATCAATCTCAGAAATTTTCAAGAAAAAGCAATGGCATTTCTGAGCACCAAAACTGCAAAATGTGCAAGAATTTCTTTTAGATCAATGAGAAAAAAATTCTGAAAAAAAAGTGTTTGAAAATCTAAAAAAATGCAAAATCATGAATTTTGCAATTAATCTCAGACATTTTCTAGAGAAATCTTGGAAATTTCTGAATATCAGAAGTTGAACATTTTCAGCTTTTGATATGTTCAAGTTTTTATTATAAAATCTCCAAAATGTGATTTTTTTAAAAAATCTTGTCAGCAATAAACTAATTAAACGTTTAACTGAACCAGTTTTGTGGGAATGGAATCATGTAGCCAAAACCTCAATGATTGTTGTTTATTGTCCTTGTTAAATGAAAGGCATCCAGTTTGTTTATTGTTTTTGGCTCGATTCAGGAAAACCGAAAAAATATTTTGTCTATTTTCAGCAATAAAAACAGAATCTAGTTCCGGTGTCAAATGTTTATTAAAAAATTAAAGTTTATTGATCTTTGAGAATGTGTACCTGCATTGTTATGCCTTTACCATTCACTGACATGAAAATAGTCTCAAAACAACAATACTGTCGTTTATCGCAATAACTTTTGGCACAATTTATCATCCAGGAAAATGTGTTATTATGCTGTTAAGTCTCAGGATTATTTTCATGTCACAAAGCAATTTGTTTTATCACTTTAAGTACCAGAACAATAAGACTTTTACTGGAATCAAAACTATAAAATGACAAATTCCTCCGTCTAAAATGATGATGAAATGAACGTTGCATGAGGAGGAGCGCGATTTTTGTCACGCCATTTTCCGAAGGGCAAGAGCTGTGAAATGTAAGAGTGATGCATCAGAAATCCCTGATCTTCCATGCTATGAAGTTCACCAGATTTATTCGACTTAAAAAATGTCCAAGTCAAGCGATTAAGGATTCGGCGCCTATGCATGCGGTTGATGCAGTACTTCACATTTTCAGCTGTTTATAT